TGAAGATGATTTGGGGTGTCGTCTCTTCCTTGGCTAATTTATGTGCCCAGAGAATATGCGTCTACTCTGACCTCACCTGCTAACTTGCAAAGTGGCTTTTCTATTCCCAGAAGTTCAGTGCTGTGTGCAGAATGGCCTTTGTGACTTAGAGGTGGATAAACAAGTTGGTTTTCTTCACTCCCATGTTAAGCCTCTGCTTAGCACTTTCTAGAGACTCTGCCTAAAAGTCTAAGATAACTAAAGATGTAACTGATAGGTTTTCTCTGTTCTTTCTTAAATAATCACCTTTTTGGTGGCTGTGTTTTTTCATAACTTAGAACCACTCAGTAAGTTAAGTGAGTGTGTGGGGGTAAATGAAATCTCATTCATGAAAATGAACTTGAAACATTGAAATATTAAATCGATGATACATGTAGCTAGACAAAAACACTCTGCAAACCAACTAAAGTTTTGAACTTCTCATTGAATAGATCCATTTCATTTTAACTGTGCTTTTCATGTCAGCAATGCAACTTAATCCAAATGACTGAATGATCCTTCCTCCTGGGTGTGTTGCAAACTGTATCAAGTTTCTGATACCCAGACCAGAATACTCAAGAATCTCCAAACACAGTTCTTTTATGCTCTCCATGACCTGTGCTATGTCATTTCATTTAATACACATATTTATATTCAGAAAATGTAGCTATATATGCTGTGACTCCTTAGAAGACCTGAAGACCTGATGACCCCTACAACCTAAACAGGCACTAAACACTGCTATGTTGTAGCATGCAGGATCTGCAGTGACAGACAAGTCCCAGGTTATCTTTTGTGACCAAGGTCACATATATTTTGACCTTTGTCCCATATATTGGCTATGCCTCATGCCAAATTTGGGGCTCTGAAGGTCAGCTCCATCCCCTGGTCAGCCTCAGGACCATATCACAGGATGATGAAGCCAAGACATACGTCAGGACCACCAGTTCTCATACTGTCGGCTCTGCACACTCATGCTACACCATTTAAATAAAGCACAGAAATTCATCCCCTCTTCCCAGGAGTTGAACTTCTGCAGCTGGCAGAGTCTCCCTGCATGTTTTCTGGGAAGAGCTCATGGACATAAGAATTCATTCTGTGGAGCATAACCAGGCTTTTAGCCTCCGTCCCACACACAGCTATTCATGCTGTGGTAGGGGAGAGGCCAAGGACGTTGTCTGGAAAGGTGTAGGGCCAAGCACAGAGTCCCCGGGCTGCATCCTGGACCCACGCTAATCATTCCACCCCCAGGTAATTGTGGGATAATGTGTTCCCTTCTTCATAGGCAAAGCAGGTTATGGAAATTATTTTGTAAAAAGTACCTGGGAGTGTTGCCAAGCTCATTTTTGGTTCATTATACCATCTATTATTAATACATTATCACATAATGATTGTATGGTCTGATCTTTCCCTCATGCACACTATGGTGGTTTTTCTCTGCTCGTGTGTGTGTAGACAGTGTAACTGGATCATGGTTCATGCTGAGCTTAAAATTTGATCTTCTGAATAGCAGCAGAAAGACTCTTTCTGGTGAATGCAGGTCTTCTGAGCACTTATCGACTGACTTTGTCATTAGACACCCCTTTCAGAAGGTACAAAAAAAGAAAAAGAAAATTACTATTGTGAAGTGAAGTCGAGCAACTGGGAAGAAATGCCAAGATGAAATGAAGTGCTAAAGGTAAATGAATGGGAAGAACCTGGGGAGATGGTAACCACGTTAATCATAGCAAACTGGGATGAAAAGACAGAGAATAACACAATATAGAGACTTTTTTTAATTGTTAGAGGAAAAGATAGGTCCAATAGCATGAGTAGAGGCTTTGAAAAGTAAAGATAGCTCAAAAGGGACGAATTTCTCAAAGCATTCTAATTGTACAATCCTAGCTCACCTTCATAAGAGGACAGTTTAAGAAATGGGCAGCAGGAGGGGGCTTGCTGTCTATTTTTAGAAAGATTTTGGCCAAAAAAGGAAGTGTCAGTGCAAAAACAAGAGTCAGTTTTTACAGACACATGAGGGGTAGTGTTTTCCAAAAAGACCGAAAGGTGACACAATTTTATTCACTTTTATAACTCTAGCACCCACTATAAGCGCTAGGTCCCCCAAATGTCTTCCGTCGATTCTGTTGTTTGGAGAATTTGCTCCCAGGTTCATATGAGAAGGTATAGCTGACATTATATGGTATCTGGGATTTGCTTCGAAACAATCCAGGGAGAAGAAAGACGGGGTGAGGGTAATGATGAAATAAGATTGACCACAATTTGATATATTTACACTGGGTGATAAATACTAAGGCATTCATTACTATATTATATCTACTTTTGTATGTTTGAAATGTTCCGAAATAAAAATAAAAATAAAACCAGATCTCTCAATTTAAAATAAAATGTTGTAGTTTGCCAAAAAAAAAAAAAATTCCACTTGAAATATACAAATGCAGATCTTTAAAAAAGAGACTCACAGGAACAGAAACAGTGAAACCCTTAGGAAAAGGCTAATTGAATTGAAACACAATGACACATTTGACTTGCAGTGGAGCGAAGGGGCAAATCTGAGACTCTGGAAAGTTATTCCGGTGCTCTATTTTATGGCTGACTTTCAGTCAAAGAGCATGGGTGTCAGAGGGAGCTCAGTGTTTTCTGGGTTGCTACATGAGAACCAATCAACCAAAGTTATACAACGGTATATGTTTACTGAAAATAAAAACACTTTTTCTTCCATTGGAGCTATGGAACTGTACAACAGGCTGTTCTCAAGGTTTTAGACAGACCAGGTGTGAATGAATACACTAGTAGAAGCTTGACGGCCACCTGACAGGGATGCTGCAAAGAGAATTTCTGTATCACTGGGAGGCTGAACTAAATGACCTTGAAACTCCCTTCCCACTGGATGATCCCCTAATTCTGCAATGAGGTGATCCTTCCTGTTTAGGCACATAACTCGTAACTCTTGCAGGAGGCATGCCATTTGTCACACATCATGAGTACTTGATTTGAAAGAAAAAGAAAACTTGATTTTCAAGTAAAAACTAATATAGTCCTCCACCAGCTAAAACTTAAAGACTCAAATTATTAATGCTAAATAACTAGTTTTAGTAAATTGGGCTTTAATCCATGTGAATCGAATTCCTAGAAAGTGTAAGGTGTTTGGATAGTAAAGGAGGCCAGGGCCTTTGCAAGTGCTGAGTGCTTGGATGGGTTTGGTGCCTCAAGCCTCTCTCCTCCCTTTCCTGGGAGCTGCCCATGATGTGCTGCTCTTGAATTGTTCTTCTGGCATGGAGAACAGCTGCAAAGGTTTGGATACCCACCTTGCAGAGCCATTTTTTAACTTAAAGCAACATGTCACCAACCCCAGTGATTTTTCCTTAAGCTTTATTTCTAACTGCAGTACAAAGATTTATTTTTCTAAAAAAAAAAAGAAAAGAAAAGAAAAAAAGAAAAAGAATTATTATGTCAGCAAACAAATGGGCTGAGGGTTGAGGTGAGCATTCTGAAATGATACAGTATAACCAGTGCAGCTATTCTGGTGATTCCAGAGGGAAACTAAGCCCAGTTTGGTCTATATCAGGGTAGTATCTCATGGCCTCAGACTGAAGGTGCCCACTCTTCAGGACCTTAGTTAGCCTTGCTATAAATGATTGGGAAGGATATGGTGCTAGCCCTCCAAAGATCTGGAAGGGACTCCATTCTGTCCCATGATATTATTACCCTTTCTCTGTTTCTTCTCCAGTTGTCAGTGACATGAATCTTTGCTCCCTTCTTCGTGGAATATTTCTGATCTAATAGCCCCTACATTTCAAAAGATGGATATAAACATCACATGAGTATTACAGGAAAGCTGGATTGCTCTGCAGTGAGTGAAATATGGAAAGGCCTTTCCCACCAAGCAATAGGCCAAATTGTAACTAAGATGTATTTGAAATAGAATGGTTCATAGATCAGAGATGATGCTGCCTTTTTTTAAAGCGTGAAAATGTTCCTTCTGCAGAATAAGACTCAAAAGAGGAACATGAATAATTTGATATTTATTTATTATGTTATGATCTGCTTTAATAATTACATATATGAATAGTGTGTGTGTGTATATATATATGTATAGATGATACAGCAATATGATTCTTTAAAAGGCTACATATTTAATATGCTTTCACTCTTAGCTCAGAGCAAAGCTGGTTTGTTCCTGCAGACAAATCATCCCCAGCTCTGGAGTTCTATAGAGTTGACTTTAAATAGTCACTTGGTCTCAGATTTTGCTGGATTTCCAGTGTGATAGATGAAAGGATGTTGCACTTGTTACTCAACTACAGCTCCTCTTTTCCATTTCAGGCCATACATTTCCATTAATTAATGCACACTGTCGTTAGCTCAGTCTTCCCTCTTCTTTAATCATTTCAGCACCTGATTCACAATTTTACTTCCCACACCACCTCGGACAACATCCTTGTACTGGTCAAGTTTTAGTTTTCTGGCACCTTACCATTTAACACGTAACACCCTGTGTTTGTAAACATATTTTTATCTCCCTGCACATCGAAGTACAACTTGGCATTTCCCATACAGAAACCATAATGACACACTGCAAATAACTCAAGCTTCACACATATTTGCTCTGACCCAATGTGTGGCAGGGCAATTTTAATCCTAGATTCACCATCCTTACCATTCCCATCACCTTTAATCCTCTCTAGAGTCCAGCATCTACCAAAGCTGTGCTAGTGAAATGTAATCAGGCTGAGAAGAAAATGCACTTTTATTTTAGGAAAATTCATGAGAAACTGGCAGGAAGTTAACCTGAGTGCAACACGTCTGCTCATCCCTTTGTTCTCCCACAGAGGCCAGGTCACTATGAGGGTTCTGCTGTTCTTGCCAGCCTTCAAGCAATCAACGGCTCTTGTCCAGCAGTGGCTCAAACTCCTGGCCATTCACCCCAGGGACAGAAGCCAGTGGAGGAAGCAGTGATTGTTATTTACTTTTCTTGGCAGGTGGTGACCAGATGGGTATAAATGGGCTGTGGAAAAAGAGAATTCATGGCCAAAAATGGTGGTGCTCTCTGTCCAAAAATTAAGGCCCTATGACCGTGAATGAAGCTGGAGGACAGGTAGGAACAGGTAATGGAAGTTATTTCCAAATCTCTGTTCCCTTTTAGACTTTGAATGTTTTGAGTGTTTCATTAAATAGTGTTACAAGTCCACTAAGATTCCACATAAACGTTTAGCCAGCCAACAGTTAAGTCTGTACCTCCCAAGGCAAGTGATGAATGTTGAGATTATAATTGTGAATGGTACAATCTCAAGGTCTAGATGAAGTACAACGTTGAACAGAAAAGGACTGAAAAAGCAAAAGAAGACATTTCCAGAAGAAAGTGCCAAAGTAGGGCTCCAGGCCAATTTGTTGAAGGCCAATTTGTTAAAATTAACTTGATGAATGACCAATTTACTGACTCATTGAGGGTTTTTGCTTATGTTTTAGTTTAATTCTTACCCTGCTTCTGAACATGACCCTGCCCCTGTAACAAAATAGTCGGGGCCAACTTCAGAGACAGGGACAGGGAAAGTATAGGGTGAAGATGAAAAGAAAACCTTCTAAATATCCTTACAATTTCACAAATTAGAAATTTGACAAATTGTCTTTCAGTCAATTGACTTACTTCCCCAAAGCACAGCTATCTTCTAATTGTCCCTGATTTCTAGCACAGGTTCCTGCTGCTTTCACATGCAGTTAAAATAAGGAGGGATGACATTCCCAAGAGCACACACATATGCACACCACAAGGTGACATGTGCACACCTGTATCCACAACCCCTTTTCTGGGTTTCTGTCCAAGGTAAAGAAAGCCTTCTCAATAGTCATCCCCTTCCTTCATGCTACAATCTTGCCTTATGTTAGGCTACCTTGGGAAAAAAACATCACCAGAATTCTGGTGCTCAGACTTTCAGAGCATGGTAGGTCTTTTAGTCATCATAATTGAGTAATCAAATTGAAGACTAATCCAACTTGGATCTCCTCTCTAATTTTCTTGGCTGTAAATCTATTCAGGCTGCTGTTAAAAAAACAAAAGCAAAAACAAAAAAACATACATTGGGTGGCTTATAAACAACAGAAAGTTATTTCTCACGGATCTGGAGGCTAGGAAGTTTAAAATGAAGGTGCTGGCAGAATTGATGTCAGGTGAGGGCTCACTTCCTGGTTCATAGACAGCTGTCTTCTCACTGTGTCCTCAGCCAGTAGCTGGCAAGGGAGCACTGGGGGGCCTCTTTTAGAAGGGCACTAATCCCATGCATGGGGGCTCCACTCTTGTGATCTAATTGCTTCCCAGCCTTACCTCCTGATACCATCACATTGAAGATTAGATTTCAGCGTATGGATTTTCGGAGAACACAAACAGTCCACTGCAGGTTGGGAGTGCCTATAAAATCATCGGTCTATGTAAGGGACATTGTTTCATCAAGTCTTAAATATTTTCAATGCTACACTCTGCTGCTACAGTGCCCTGGTTTCTTTAGCTGTTACTTGTTGCTTGTATCAAAATTGGAGACCTTTGAAAAGATCCTTAAAGGAGTCTGAAAAATTCAAGAGAAAAAGACACAGGAACACAAATTAGAACAACAGTAAAATACTATTTGCAACCTATAACATTGTCAAAGCACATGAAAAGGAACTCTATTGGTATTGGCTTCTAACCATTGGTGAAAACGCAAATTGGCTCAGTGCTTCTGGAATAACATTTGCAAATACATGCTGAGTAGCTTTAAATATCCATTGATCTTCAATTTTTCTTCTAGGGACTTTTCCCAAGGAAATAGAAATGTATGTAAAAGTTATCCTAGTGATGTTTACAATAGAAAAATAGAAAAAATAGTGAAAATAGCTTTAATATCCATCCTTATTAAATTAACTGAATATATTTTGTTACATTTATATGACATATAATAAATACCATGCAAATATTTAAAATTATCAAAATATTTTAAGTAAAGAAAACAATAGATTGTTAATCTATGTATAATACTATAACACTTTCTAGTATAGCATATAGCATGTTAGAAAAAGATCCTTACTTGATATACTAAATTAAATGATAACAATTATTGCTTGGCTAAGAGATTGTAAATGTTTATGCTTTTTCTTCTAGATCTATATTTTCCAGATTTTTGAGTAAATATGTCTTCAGTGAAGGGAGCCTCGTTTTGAATTCTTATAATTCTTTTAAAAATAATTTCATAATTTTTCTTGTATAATTTTGTTATACAAAATTAAGAAAGCAAAGGGATGAAGAAAGCAGCCTTATTTTCCTACCAGAAAGAATCCCATTGTACCTTTTCTCTCCCTGTTAAGCACACATCTTCTCTAGAATACAGAAATATTCTAGAGATCACTGATGCATTTGAGGGAAATTGAAAACAAAACAAAACACAACAAACAGAAGCCTTAAACAGTAAAATAACAGCAAGCTGAAACTGATTTAAGACAATCAAATAACATCGTTTCCTGTTCATTCTCTAAACACAAGCTTTCTCTCGCTTTGATAGGGACAATGAATCTGGGAAGGGATTGGTGTCCTCTCCTCTTCCCTCCTTTCCTCCCTTTCTCCCTGGCTCCCTTTTAAAAGCAAGTTGCACTGAGCACAGCAGGGAGGTCTGATGGGAGGCACTGGTGGGGCTCCCTGCTGCAGGATGAGAGGATGAAACGCACAGCAGGGGAACAGACACAATGAGCATCAAACCCGTAGCACTGGGAAGGCATAGAGGGGCTGTTAAGGAAAGTGTGCCTATGATGACTATTATTATTTAGTCTTAAAAAACAACACCAAAAATCAGGGCAACCCCTTTTGGAAAACAAATAGGAGCACTGAACCAGTGTCACTGGGTTCACAGGCAGCTGCCAGCGCACGCAGCGACAAGTCAACCAGAAACTCAACTAAGCAGTTTCCAGGATTTCATGGGAAGGATGACGATTCCTGAGAGTCTGTGCTCCCCTCTAGGAAAATGGGCCACTTGGGCCCCAGATGTGCGGGTCTTTTCCGGACTCAGGCCTGCGTCAGCATCCCTAGCCCCGGAGCCTGCGCCCTCATCATTGCATAAGAGTCTGTGCGGCCTCGCAGCTGGCGCGCTTGTCATCGGCGCCCCCTGCTGGACACACAGAGAAATGGCGCCTTCGCAGCCATCTCCTTGACCCAGGCTGTCTCCACTTTTAGGACGTTATTTTCTCCCTGTGCCACCGTGAGAGGGAAATTTTCTACAGAGAAGGAAAAGAAAGGAACCTTACCATCGGAGCACAAAGCATACCCTGGAGCCCCAGCCAATATATGATTTCCATGGAAGAAAGGGCTGATTCTCAGCAGTTTGTTCACACGGGCTCCAGTCGTGCACCTGCAGGACGGAGAGGCCAGGCCTCAGTCTGACCAAGCAGAGGAGGGACCAGATAGGATTTCTCAGTGCGTGGAGGAATGTGAAGGGGCAGGACTTGCAGTCTTCTCATGCTTTTAACTCTACATCCTGTCACAGAAGCAGAAAGACCCGGAGAAGGCCGGGATGTCCTAAATTTCCTTCTCTTCTACTTACTAATTAAACATCCCAGCAAACTGCCTGTCACATCTCTAGAATTGCATCGGCCTCTCTTGAAGTGTAAGCTGTTACCCTCACCTTGCCATACAAATTTTAGAGATATTCAGACCTGCCTCAAAATCTTCTCTGCCCAAGCGTTAGGACTCCTGAGCTGGGATGGGCAGCAGCCTCACAGTTTCTCAAACCACCATGCATGTTCCCTAGACAAAGGTGGAATCATTCTTGTTCAGCTGAGAGAAAGTTAGTCATGCTACTGTCTTCTCTTTGCTCAGTTTGAGTCAGATGTGCCACATCTCTCGCCTGAGCAGCGGCTAAGTTTGTGGTCAATGGGGATGAGCAGAGATGGAAGGGCTGTCAGTCCTGTGCAGGCCAAGGGATCAGGCCTGTTGGGAGGCTCGCGTAAGAGCAGTCCCTCTGAAGTGTTCAGGAAAGCCATGCCTTTAAACCTCATCTTCTCATGGTTCTCAATCTCAGCTGCACTTTTGAGTCACCCAAGGAGCTTTTAAAAATCATTGATGCTGGCTGGGCGTGGTGGCTCACGCTTGTAATCCCAGCACTTTGGGAGGTCGAAGCGAGTGGATCACCTGGGGTCAGGAGTTTGAGACCAGCCTGGCCAACGTGGTGAAACGCTGTCTCTACTAAAAATACAAAAATTAGCCGAGCGTGGTGGCAGGCGCCTGTAATCCCAGTTACTCAGGAGACTGAGGCAAGAGAATCATTTCGACCTGGGAGGCGGAAGTTGCAGTGAGCCGAGATCACACCATTGCACTCCAGCCTGGGGAACAAGAGTGAGCCTTGTCTCAAAAATAAATAAATGAATGAATGAATAAATAAATAAATAAATTAAATTAAATAAAAATCACCGATGCTCAGGCACTGCCCCAGATTCATTCATTTGGAATCTCTGGAGATGGGGCCAGGGCACTGCATCTGTTTTTTTTTGTTTTTTTTTAAGATTCTCAGATGACTAAAATCGTCAGCCAAGATTGAGAACCACTGCCTGCATCTCTGTCTCCCCAGCTTGTAGGGTGTGACCTTAAACAAAGTAGGAGTTCATTAATGTTCGATGAATGCATGAGTGAGTGAATAGATAAATGAGTGAACGAAGACTGGGAAGGGCAAAAACAGATGAATAATCATTTATGACAAATATGGAAAAAATTGTGATAAATTAATTAATTACTAACTAAAAGTGAGCCACACAATAATAGCAGTCACCAAACTAGAGGTGGACCACTCAGTGGATAGGCTGAAGGGGATGGGCCAGTATCTAACATTGATAGGAAAAGGCCTCAAAGGGACCTGTGTTTATTGTTGGAATTGGTCTGGTAAAATTCTCCCTTTGGAAGGCAGCAGGACAGGGAGGAGGCAGACAGTGAGGAAGTAGTTGAACTCATGTAACTGACTAAGAAGAGGATGGCAGTGTTGCCTGTGTTTCAGGGAGTCAGGCCCACAGAGGCCCCTGCTGTGCACACAGAGCATATGGAACTCAGAGTGCCCTGGGGTGACCGAAGCAGAGACCAAGATGCCATGTACTTGGAGAAGGTAGGACACAAACCCACCGAAGAGGCTCAGGAACAAGAATACATATGTGAGAAGTCTAGACAAGTCCAGTCTCTCGCCCGAACTAGAAGATGAACCCTTTGAGACCAGAAATAATATCTTTCTCAGACTTTTTCTGAAAAGTTTCTATTTCTCCAAGTATACAGGAAGGGACTGGCTTCTAAAATAAGTGTAAGCAAGAAGGGAACCAACAGAAAAATTAAGGACAGTGTATTAGTCAGGGTTCTCTAGAGGGACAGGAATAATAAGATAGATGTATATATGAAAGGGAGTTTATTAAGGAGTATTGACTCACATGATCACAAGGTGAAGTCCCACAATAGGCCATCTGCAAGCTGAGGAGCAAGGAAGCCAGTCCAAGTCCCCAAACCTCAAAAGTAGGGAAGCTGACAGTATAGCCTTCAGTCTGTGGCTGAAGGCCTGAGAGCCCCTGGCAAACCACTGGTATAAGTCCGACAGTCCAAAAGCTGAAGAACCTGGAGTCTGATGTTCGAGGGCAGAAAGCATCCAGCATGGGAGAAAGATGAAGGCCGGAAGACTCGGTAAGTCAAGTCCTTCCATGTTCCTCTGTCTACTTTTATCCTAACTGCACTGGCAGCTCATTTGACAGTGCCCACCCAGATTGAGGGTGGGTCAGCCTCTCCCAGTGCACTGACTCAAATGTTAATTTCTTTTGGCAACACCCTTACAGACACACCCAGGAACTTTGCATCCTTCAGTCCAATCAAGTTGACACTCAAATATTAACCATCACAGACAGAATGCAAATTCAATGAGTTTGCAAATTGGTATAAGATTCATACAGTGAGAGGCGGCAACCATCTGGGCCAGGATATGGCTGAAGCCAAGTGGTTAAGTCATGCCCAGAAGAAAAATCAGTCACAGGGTAGGACTAAGTTGGCTCTCAAGGAATTGTATCTCCAGGGTTTCAGCTCATCAATTTTCACAAACAATTAATATGGTTTCTTTCTTTATTGTTAGAGTCTCCATATTCAAAATAGAATTAGTAACAGAGTTTCTCTCCAAAGCTGGCACAAAGAAATGTATCTTATTGCCCACTACACAAAGGTTTGCTTTATAATTCTAAAGATTCAAATCTCTCCCTAGCTAATATTTCCAATGCAGCTGGTTTGCTTACTGCTTTGGAGTTGTCAGCTAAAAGCCAAAGTTCTGGGAGAGTTATTTTTCTACCCTGGGGGAGGCAGGAGACTTCTGGTGATACTCACAAATGTCCTTTAATTTGCCAAAAATTACTAGCTTGATTCAGCCTAATTATTACATAATTCCTCCATTGTTATAATACAAATTATGAATGCTCATATGACGTGAAGCATCTTCCTTCCCCTAGCATTGGCCTAACCAGGCCCAAGAGACCCAGGGGATGTTGAAAGCACAGTTAGCTTTCTCCCTACTTCCTGGTTACACATCTTTCCTAACTTGCTGGTTACTTTTTAAAAATTCCTCTTGAATTAGGTCCAGAGTGACAGATGAATCTGGAGAAAGAGTGAAGGGTTAGAGGCTGGTACACATGTCATCCAGTACTGGTGCCCTCTAGCCAGCTAGATGGTCAAAGCTCTCCTGTGGGATGTTAGTTGTGAATCTTTGGTGGTCCTTGACCAGCAGCTCCCTGGAAGTGGGAAAGGTGTATTGCCTGTCATCTGGCAGTTGGGTGTGACGCCCAGCTCAGCCACTGGACTCACAGTACTCCACCCATCTCTTAGCAGCTACTGTGAACTACATGTCTATGTTCCCCCAGAATCATATATGGAAGCCTAAGTCTCCCCATTATGATGGTATTTGCAGGTAGGGCTTTTGGGAAGGAATTAGGTCATGAAGGTAGAGTCCTCGTGAATGGGATTAGTGCCCTTATAAAAGAGATGGATGAATGAATCACTGAAGAAAATGTGCATGCTCCCTCTCTCTCTCTCTCTCTCTCTAATATGTTAAGTAAAAGATACAGAAAGACAAAAACTCTATGGTGTTGTTCATACATTGAATCTAAAAAAGTCAAACTCACAGAAACACAAAGCAGAAGGTGGTTGCCAGGAATGCTGGGGGTCTGAAAGAAATGGGGAGATGTCTGTTAATGACTACAGATTTTTTCAGTTATAAGATGAATAAGTTCTAGAGGCCTAATGTATACCATGGTGACTATAGTTAAGGTAAAATTGAAATTTTCTAGGAGAGTAGATCTTAAGTATTTTCATCACAAATTTTAAAAAGGTAACCAGGAGAGGTGATGGACATGTTAATTCACTTCATTGTGACAATCACTTGGTGATGTGGTTTGGATCTGTGTCCCCACCAAATCTCATGTCGAATTGCAGTCCCCAATGTTGGAGGTGGAGCCTGATGGGAGGTAATTGGATCATGGGGGCAGATTCTCATGAATGATTTAGCACCATCCCCTTGGTGCTGTTCTTGTGGTGATGTATTAGTTTGTTCTCATGCTGCTAATAAAGACATTTCAGAGACTGGGTAATTTATAAAGGAAAGAGGTTTAATGGACCCACAGTTCCACATGGCTGGGGTGGTCTCACAATGATGGCAGAAGATGATGAGGGAAGAGCAAAGTCATGTCTTATATGGCAGTAGGCCAGAGAGCTTGTCCTGGGGAACTTTCATTTATAAAACCGTCTGATCTTATGAGATTTATTCATCATCATGAGAATAGTATGGGGGAAACTGCCCCCATGATTCAATTAGTCTACCCAGCCCCACTCTTGACATGTGGGGATTATTACAATTCAAGGTGATATTTGGGTGGAGACACAGCCAAACCATATCAGACGTGAGTGAGTTCTCATGAGATCTGGTTGTTTAAAAGTGTGCAGCACTTCCCACCCCCATCTCTCTCTTGCTCCTGCTCCTGCCATGTGAGGTGCCTTGCTCCCCCTTTGCCTTCCATCATGACTGGAAGTTTCCTGAGGCTTCCCCAGCAGCAAAAGCCGCCATGCTTCCTGTGCAGCCTGCAGAATCATGAGTCAATTAAACTTCTTTTTTAATGTAAATTACCCAGTCTCAGTTATTTCTTTATAGCAATGAGAGAATGGACTAATACACTTGGCAATGTACATGTATATCATCACATTGTACACTTTAAATATATACAGTGTTTGCCAATGATAACTCAGTAAAGCTGAAAAAAATAAAATGTGAATGAAGTCAAATAAATAGAGAGGTAAAAGAAGTAGACACAAGAGAGTGTGTGTCTCCTTGCTGTCCCTCTCTGCTCTCCACTGTGTGAAGATGCAATGAAAAGATGGCCATCTGAAAACCAGAAAGCAGGTCCTCACCAGACGTCCGATCTGCTGGCACCTCTATCATCTTGATTTCTCAGCATCTAGAACTGGGAGAAATAAATTTCTGTGGTTCAAGCCACACAGTCTATGTGGTATTTTGTTACAGCCGCCCAAGCTGACTAAGACAGGGTCATATTGTGGCTCCAGGCATTTCCCATGAGTGAGTCTTTTTTCCAGATTATGTCAAGTCAACTCCTCACTGTGTTCACACTTCTGAAAATCTCAGTCCTTTTCCCTGTTGAGGTGAGAAGAACCTTGCTCTTTAATGCCTCTCATTCTGCTATGTGGGGCTTGTGCACATGACCTCTCGCCTTTTGACTTTTCAGATATCTCTCACAATTTAGTCCATATGTTCTCCATATACCAGAACATACAGGCCAGATTCTCTCAAGAGTTTCCTTCAAACCCGTCTCACCTGGGCTTAAGCAGCGGGGTGGGTGCTCCCTTTCCCTGTGCACTCATCCCTTTCCCTGTGTTGTGAGGATTCAGACAACACAAAAACTAACTTCAGATACGTTCTCCAGACCTTTCTACCTTATTTCTCATACAAGTTGCAAATGAGGTCTAGCACCTCACTTTAGAATATCAAGGGTGCTTGGCACCTACTGTAATTTAAAAATATTTCTATAATTCTTTTATACTCCTCCCTTTAAGAAGTAGAGTCTAATTCCCTTAACTTTGAGTATAGACTGGTCTTGGTAAATTGCTTTTAGCAAACAGAATATAAAGGAAATGATGTATGAGACTTCTAAAATTAGCTGGTAAAAGGCCTTTTGACTTCTTGGTTGCTCTCTTTTTCTATTTTAGATCATTTGTTCCAGGAGAAGCCAGATGCCATGTCTTGAGGACAGTCAACCCTCTGGGAAGGTTCCTATGGTAAGGAACCAAGGCTCCTGGAAATAGCTTCTGAGTGAGCCACCTTGAGAATGGATTGTCCAGCCCCAGTCAAACTTTCAGAGACGACTGTAGCCCCTGCCAATGTCTTCACCACAACCTCATGAGATCCCAAGCTACAACCACTCAGTTAAGTTATTCCAAAATTCCTGACTCACAGAAATTGAGATACAGGAGAGGTCACAGTTAAGATCTTGATGTTCTATCTTCACCCATAATATAGGAGCTTCACCTTTTGAGAAGCACCAGTGAGAGCTAGCTGCCTGTGCCTGGTGGAAGCTGCCCATGCCCCACTGATACCCCACAGTACTTCCTGTTCTGCTCAGTACTCCTGCTTCTTTCTGCAAACAACTGTGATTCTCCACCTGGGAGCTTCCTCTGGCCACAAGAGCCTGCTCACCTGAATGGGACACCCCAGCAGTGCTGATGAGTTACAGCTTCCAGGAGCAGCTCTCCTCCAGCAAAGGAAAAGGTTGGCAGAAAAGTACTTCAGCTGCCTTTGCTAGTGTGTGGGACAATGTTAAGACATGCTCCACACAGTAATGCAGGGGTCCCAGCAAGATGGAGCCCAAATTGTCCACAATAGTAACTTGCCAGTAGATGCCTTCATTGACTTTCTTCCCTGCTGTGCCTTTCTTCCCACTCTCCTGCCAGTGCTTCCTGGAATCATCTCCCTCATCAATCATTTGTTCCAAAATTCTGTCTGAGTCTGTTTCTGAGGAAACCCAACCTGAGTCATCATCCCTCTTCCCCCCCTCACACTTTCTTCACTGGGGGAGGATGGATTGAATTGACTGGCAAATTTTGGAGGAGTTTGCATTGGAGTGCGTGACTCAGCTGAGGTTGGGCTGTGTTTTTTCAGAGAGAAGTACATTCAGATTCAATGTGTATCCTGTCTTCAGGAAGCCCCATGCTCTGTTCATCTTAGCATGATTACTAAGCTACACACTGCCCTTTCAAGGGGAAGGCCTGAGATTTGCAGTTGGCAAGCTCAGTGGGAGTTGGATGTTTTATGTAACCTGATTGTGGATATAGATCAATCCATGCTTTTCAATTCAGTCCTCTCTCTAATAAACTGCTCTTATGAGCCCCATTTGTCTAATTCTTATCTATTTTCTTAAGTTGTTTTAGCGTTCAGTAAAGAACAGCATTTTTTTAAATTGGTGATCTAAAACTTCAAGTACATGTAAAACATAGGAGGAACAAAAACTCTAATATATAAGCCATTTCAAATGACCTACAAGATTCATTGTAGAACCTTATGCTTATCAGCAGGTTTTTGTTTGTAAAAGGAAGACTCAATAATCTTCAGTAAAGGATCATCTTAACTGTCTCAGGTAACCAAGGCCTATAAAAAACTGAAAGGGGAAAATCATTAACATGACAAGAAACAAGTGTGTAAGTCATGCACATTTGCATCTAACGTTGTTAGCATAACTCTGGTTCATAGTTCTAGAATGATGTCAGGATTTTTAGCTTCATGAAATGAAACATTTCTTTTCTTGGTGTGATTTTTTTTTTTTTTTTCCGCACAGAGAAAAGTCCTTAGTCACAAGTTTCTGAGTATTTTTTAGTCAAGATGGTGTTTAGCATTTACTTTTTAGCTGCATTAAGCTAAATTCTACTGCACTCCCACACATCCCCACTACCATTTCCTCCCGATCACCAAGTAATTAGAAATGATAGATAAATGGATAAGAAGTTTTTTAAAATAAAAAGAATGTTGCCCACTCAAAATTTATATTTTCTTTGAAAGAAATGGAACAGAAATGCACAGTAGAAACTACAGTGGAATCTGTGGACATATTGGCTTAGAGGAACAGAAGCAAGCATTTGAGTTCTGTGGCATGATGGAGACCAAACACACCCTGCAGAAAGTAGAGAACGTAAGCTAAAGTCATTGAGCCAAGTTGGAGGCTAGGGTGGAATTCTTCCTCCTATAAAAGATGCCTTCACCCGACATCAGGCAGAGACAGGAGCCTGCTCACTGTCAAGGGCTATGACTTGTGGAAGCTATAAGGTATGGAGGAAGAATGTGGTACAACCAGTACCTAGGATAAGCCACTTGCCCCCTCTAAGCACAGACCTCTGATCTCTCTGATACAATTTCTGGATAGGAATACTATGCTGACAGGATAAGACCTGGGGCCAGTTAGAAGGAAACTGTAAAACTGTCATGCCACACAGGGAAGAGTGAAGGCAGAAAGAGGGGGAAAGTATTTACATTCAAGGTAAGCCTGCAAATGAAAGTTCTACTGCTATTAAGGAAAAATATTGCTAAGAAAGGCATCCAACAAAATCAACATGGAAACCCAACCATTTATTGTCAATGAGATACAAGTAATAGAACACTCTGAATAATACTAAAACATAATTGTGGGCCAGGCACAGTGGTTCACGCCTGTAATCCCAACACTTTGGGAGACCGAGGCAGGCAGATCACCTGAGGTCAGGAGTTCAAGATCACCCTGGCCAATCTTGTGAAACCCTGTCTCTACTAAAAATATAAAAATTAGCTGGGCGTGGTGGTGCACGCCTATAATCCTAGCTACTCAGGAGGTTGAGACAGGAGAATCACTTGAACCTGGGAGGCAGAGGTTGCAGTGAGCCGAGATTGCACCGCTGCACTCCAGTCTGGGCAATAGACCGAGACTCTGTCTCAAGTAATAACAATACTATTAATAATTGTGTTTAATATATAAACATTGTTTTAAGAACTTTACATGTATCGTATCCTTTGATAAAAGCAATAACACCATAAAGTAGCTACTATTACCTTCATCTCACAAATGGGGATACAGGGCAGAGAAGTTAGGGAACTAACTCTGGGGCTCACAACTTGTCACTGTGAGTGCAGAAATAACATATGCAACAAGATCAAGAAGTTACAAACAAGAACAAGAAAGAATTAAATTAAAATATGAAATTGTGAAATTAATAGAAAGACAACAATAATAATAATAGGTGCATATAGAAAAGAACTAATTGTAAGTCGTAAATATTTTGAAACGATGGTCAAGAAAATATCCTCAAGGGAGGATAAACTTCAACTAGACATAACTGAAGAACAATTTGGTGAAGTAGTAATGAGTAATTTACTTAGAACTTGGCATGGAAAGATAAATCAAATATATATGAAGCAGATGTTAACAATCACGGTGAATAGAAAAAGGGGCTCCAACGTGTATCTCAGAAATTCAGACACTAGACACTTGAGAGAATGCCTAAGAAATCACTATTTGAAGAGGTATCAGCTGAGAAATTTCCAGAAGCAAACAGAGATCTAATTTCTTAGATTAAAAGCACATACTGAGTGCTGATCAGGATAAACAGAAATGCTCTCTCACACCTATACATATTGGAATGAAACTGCAGAACAAGGATGAAGGTAATATCTTAAAAGCAGCCAGAGAGAGAAAAAAATCATGTTATATACAAAACAATCAAGATTAGACTGACATCAGGTGTCTTATCAGCAAAAATGGATGGCAAAAGTCAGTGAAGTAATATCCTCAAAAGGCCATAGGAATTCAACCATCTCCCCAGAGTTCCCTTTGTGGTCAAACTCTCCTTCAAGGGTGATAAAAGGTCTGAGAAAGCCTGCAGCTGTGGACTCTCACTGAAATCATTAGTGAAGGGTGTACTTATTAAATACTAATATAAGAAAAACGTCAGCCCAGAGGAAATGAGTAGAATTCCAGACAATGCAGTGAGCAGGGAAATTATTTAAACAAATCAGGAGAAGCTGAGCTGTATGTATTCATGAGCCTTGCTAGTCTGTTAAAATACTGATATATAACAGTCTTCAATTATACATCCCTGCAGTTTTTTCTGAGAGATGAAAGTCGGTTATTTTGGTTATAAAGACTGTATTAGGAGCAATAGTGACAGAGAAATACAAGTGTGGTTATGCTACTGTTTTTAAGGAAAAAGAGAATAGTTTTATACTAGAGTAGTGCCAATTTGTCCTAGAATGTGAAAGAGCTTAGTGAAGGAAAATGTTGGAAAACAAATTTTACTTGCCTTGTTGTATAATACCTAAGTCAAAAAGAAGTCATAATATAGTTTAAAAATTTGGCAAACTAAAATTTTGGATGAACTAAATCTAATGAAATCTCTGCGTATCAGCATTCCTACAACATACATCTAAGTGAAAAAAATGATTTTGTAGGATATATAATAAGGACACCATATATATTTAGTTTTAAAACTATGGTGGGGGGGGGATTGAAAAAAAATAAATAAAACTATGGTAAACATGGGTAAAGCTCATATAATCATCACTTAACTCAAAAATATATTAATACCATCATCTCTAATTTCTACTCTTATTCCCTGAGAAACTCTAATTCCTAAATGTAACTACTATTCTAATTTCTAACACTAAGGTTTTGTTTTCAAATTTTATATTAATGAAATCATCCAATATGCATTCTGTGGTGTCTTCATTTTGTTCAGCATTAAATTCATGATATTAATGTTTTTGGTTTGGATTCAATTATCCTTGGAAGAAAGTGCTATCTAACTGTCTGTCTGTCTGTCGATCAATCAACTGTTTATTTTGAAGTCATATTTTATTAAATTAGCCAGGATACATGAAGCCTATCTTAATAACAAAGGTTAATAAAACACCTGGAAGATCTCAGTGAATAAACACAAGTTATTTCCCATTTATACAAAATCCTTGTAAGTCAGCTGAATCTTCATAGTTATTGGCCTCCAAATGTGATTTGGAGATCCACACTGCTTGGATCTCACAGTTCTGACATTTCAATATGTGGCCTCCACATTTGCTCCCAATGGAGAAGCAAAGTGATATGGTTTGGCTGTGTCGCCACTGAAATCTCATCTTGAATTGTAGTTCTCATAATCCCCACGTGTTTGGGAGGGGATAATTGAACCAGTGGAGATAATTGAATCATAGGGGAGGTTTCCCTCATGTTGTTTTCATGATGGTGAGTTAGTTCTCATGAAATTTGATGGTTTCATAAGGAGCTTCCCTGTTCCCTGGGCACTTATTCTTCTCCTTTCTGCTGCCATGTGAAGAAGGACATGTTTGCTTTCCCTTCTACCATGACTGTAACTTTCTGGAGGCCTCCTAGCCATGCTGAATTGTGAGAGGTTTGAATCTCTTTCCTTTATAAATTACCCAGTCTTGCGTATGTCTGTATTAGCAGCATGAGAATGGACAAATATAGTAAATTGGCACCAGTATAGTGGGGTGCGGCTGTAAAGGTACCCTAAAATATGGAGGTGATTTGGGAACTGGGTAACAGGCAGAGGTTGGAACAGTTCGGAGGGCTCAGAGGAAGATAGGAAAATGTAGCAAAGTTTGGAACTTCTTAGAGACGTGTTGAATGACTGACCAAAATGCTGATAGTCATATGGACAATAAAGTCCAGGCTGAAGTGGTCTCAGATGGAGATGAGGAACTTGTTGAAAACCGAAGTAAAGGTGACTCTTGTTATGCTTTAGCAAAGAGACTGACGGCATTTTGCCTCTGCCCTAGAGATCTATGGAACTTTGAACTGAGAGAGATGATTTAGGGTATCTGGCAGAAGAAATTTCTAAGCAGCAAGGCATTTAAGAGGAAGCAGAGGATAAAAGTTTGAAAAATTTGCAGGCTGACAATGCAGTAGTAAAGAAAAACCCATTTTCTGAGGAGAAATTCAAGCCAGCAGCAGAAATTTGCATAAGTAACATGAAGCCAAATGCTAATTGCCAGGACAATGGGGAAAATGTCTCCAGGGCATGCCAGAGACTTTCATGGCAGCCCCTTCGTTTACAGGCCAAAAGTCCTAGGAGGGAAAAATGGTTTCCTGGGTCAGGCCCAGGGCCCCCCTGCTATGTGCAGCCTGGGGACTTGGTGCCCTGTATCCCAGACGCTCCAGTTGTGGCTAAAATTGGACAAAGTACAGCTTGTGATGTGGCTTCAGAGGGTGCAGCCCCCAAGCCTTGGTGGCTTACATGTGATGTTGGGCCTGTGGCTGCACAGAAGTCAAGAATTAAGGTTTGGAAGCCTCCACCTAGATTTCTGAGGGTGTATGGAAACACCTGCATGTCCAGGTAGACATGTGCTGCAGGGGTTGGAGTCCCCACACAGAGTCCCCACTGGGGTACTACCTGGTAGAGCTGTGAGAAGAGGGTCACTGTCTTCCAGACCCCAGAATGGTAGATCAATTGACAGCTTACACTGTGCACCTAGAAAAGCCATAGACACTCAATGCCAGGTTGAAAAGGAAGCCAGGATGAGGGGCCATACCCTATAAAACCACAGAAGTGGAGCAGCCCATGGCTGTGGGAGCCCACCTCTTGCATCAGTGTGCCCTGGATGTAAGACACGGAGTTAAAGGAAATCATTTTGGAACCTCAAGGTTTAATGACTGCCCTATTGGATTTCAGACTTGCATGGGGCCTGTAGCCCCTTTGTTTTGGCCAATTTCTCCCATTTGGAATTTTGGTATTTACCCAATGCCTGTACCTTCACTGTAACTAGGAAGTAACTATCTTGCTTTTGATTTTACAGGCTCATAGGCGGAAGGGACTTGCCTTGCCGCTGATGAGACTTTGAACTTGGACTTTTGAGTCAATGCTGGAATGAGTTAAGACTTTGGGGGACTGTTGGAAGGGCATGATTGTGTTTTGAATTGTGAGGATATGAGATTTGGGAATGGCTAGGGGCAGTGTCCCCACCGAAATCTCATCTTGAATTGTAGTTCCTATAATCCCCATGTTTCATGGGGTGGACCCAGTGGAGATAATTGAATCATGGGAACACTTTTCCCCATGCTGTTATTGTGATTGTGAGTTCTCACGAGATCTGATGGTTTTGTAAAGGGCTTCCCTCTTTGATGGGCACTCGTTTTTCTCCTTCCTGCCACCATGTGAAGAAGGACGTGCTTGCTTCTCCTCCTGCCATGATTGTTAAGTTTCCTGAGGCCTCCCCAGCCATGCTGAACTGTGAGTCAATTGAACCTCTTTCCTTTATAAATTACCTAGTCTTGGATATGTCTTTATTAGCGGTGTGAGACAGGACTAATACACAAAGGATTTGAAATCACAAAGGAGCTGTTTTCTGCTCCATCACGAAAGTCTCACATGCATCACATCTATTCGCATCCATTTGCCACAACTAGCCAAAAAGCCCTTTTTTAAATCTGCCTAGAGATCAGGAAGTATTATCTCTGGATGCCTAGGCAGGACAGGTGAATCAGATATTGGTGGGTACTAGTGTTTTCTATGATACAGACCTTAATAAAAATAAGTTTCAGATAAATCTAACTATACATTAGAATACTGTAACCACAGTAGAAGAAAATATTGGCTACTTTTTGTAATAAACTAATGATGGTAAGTGCACCCTATTTAGGAAAGAAAAGAAACTGATCTGCCATAAAGAGAACAATGACATATTTAACTACAAACTATGTTACAAAATATTAATATCCCTAAAGGACAAATAAGCTCCAATAAATGGATAACAAAAAAAATAAGCCTGTAGAAAAATGGAGAAAATATATTTGCAGAATATTTATACAGGTGGTAATGAAATTGACAATGATGTTTATCCTCAGCAGTAAACAGTAAAACGTTTCACCCACCAGGACTATAGGAATTTTTCAAATGGGTAATTTTCAGAACCAGCAAAGTTATAGAAAAGTAGATATCAGTTGCACATAGTATTGGAGGAAATGTAAAATATAATTACCTTGTGGAAAGTAATCTGATGTAATATATTAAAACTTTATCCATGTATGTCCTATAATTCAGCAATTCCATGTTAAGGAATCCATACAAAGAAATACTTACACACATACAGAAGGAGCTGAGTTTAAGAAAGCACATTTTTCAGTGGGGTGTGGTGTCTCATGCCTGTAATCGCAGCACATTGGGAGGCCGAGGTTGGCGGATCACCTGAGGTCAGGAGTTTGAGACCAGCCTGGCCAACATGGTGAAATCCTGTCTCTACTAAAAATACAAAAAGCCGGTGTAGTTGCGGGCACCTCCAGCTACTCAGGAGGCTGAGGCAGGAGAATCACTTGAACCTGGGAGGTAGAGGTTGCAGTGAGCCGAGATCACATTACACCATTGCACTCCAGCCTGGGTGACAAGAGTGAAATTCCATCTCAAAAAAAAGAAAGCACACATTTCAACATCGCCTGTAATGGTATAAAATCATGCTAATTTAAAGATCCATTAATAAGGATTGGTTAAACAGTTTATAGTTTATTCACTGTATGTAATTCTATAAGCTATCAAAATCACAGACTTACCATAAAATGATTTTTCAGTTAGTAATTTTTCACCATAACTTTTTTGGGTAATTTATACCACTTTTTGGATGACTCTTCTTGTTTATGCTGAAAACATACAAAATAAATATAATCTAAAAAAATATTTTTTGTTTTAGACAAGAACACAGTCAGAAATTTTCTCAACGCAGTTTCTATGCAGAGAAGAGATGTGGGACAGATTTGAATTGCCGTCATATTTGTATGAACCCAAGACATTTTCCAAGACCAAGAGGGATAAAGATATAGCAATTTATATGACCATGGCATTTTATGTACATGCACTAGTTCCAAGTGTTTTAATCTACTCTTCTGTGCCTTAAACTTTCTGTGTTGTAACTTTAAGTATGAATTGAATTAAAGATAATCCCAAGCCCCCAAGTGTCTCAAACAGTAAAAAAGTAAATGTTATAGAAAAAAAAGCAGGAAAAACTTTAAGCATGAAATAAAAGAGGGTTGTGATAAAAGAGGACTGAAGAGGGAAAAGGAATGAAAATTCTGCCATCCTTCATGGCAGCCCACTCCCCTTGGTATGAGATACTGTCCCCTGGCTGAAAGTTGATTGCTGCACTCTCTCCGCCTTCTATACATGACTCCTTGTGCCTTTCCTTCACCACACAACTCACACTCTCTTCCTTCCTAGTGAGTCCACTAAGCCTTCATTGCATTATTACATTGATTTCATTTATGAAAAACTGACTTTATTTTCCTCCAAATTGTATTTTATTGTTTATATGAGCTTGGTTTTATTGTCATTCTATTTTTCTCCATGAAAATAGTTTTGATGTCTTAGGTTGGGTCGAAAGGAATTATATTTTTTCCCACTAAAATTGATACAAATATTGTTTTCAATTGAATGATTTTACTCAGTGGCACAGTTTCAGGTATGTTGCTAAGCAGGAAAGTTGTTAAGCAAAGCACGGATGTATTAAGGAGATGCATGCAGAATGACATGCAAGGTGATCTATGATTGCTGAGTGAGAAGGAGCAAATTGCTGAGTATTATATAAGTATGATCTCACTTTTGTAAAAAAAAAAAAAAAAAAAAGGCCTAGGCTGATCTGAAATGACCCTATTAATAGTGATTATGTCCAGGTTTGTGTTGCATACTTGTCACTCATTACAGGATCTTGAGACACAATGCAAAGGATCATATCCCAGCTATGTAACTTGTTAACTATAAGACTTTGAGCAACATAACACCTTACTCCTTAAAATTGCTTAAAAAAAATCTGAACATGAGGAATATTCTACTTCACAGGGTCATTGTGATAATTAAATGTAGTAATCAATGACAGTAGTGCCAGATACAGTAGATAGCCTATACTTTGCAACTATTATTTCTATCTATCATCTATCTATTAATATATATCATCTATCTTTAATTTATCATCTATCTTGTTCAGGTTTTAAAAATGAACATATATTAACTTTGTAAAAAGTTAAGGCTATAAGACGTGCTGAGCTTTTGCAATAGATTTTCCTGTACTATATATGACTGCCAGTGGGAGAATTTGAATAAATGTGTAAATTTGACTAAATCTGAATAAATGTTCATTTGACGGGACCATAGATTTGGGGGTCTAGCACTAGCTCTGTTTCTACACTCCTGCTGCTGCCTGGCAGAGATGCCTCTCTCATTTTGGACTCCAAGGTAAAGTAAGCATTTTCATTTTCTGCATCATAATTTAAAATGACAAATGGAATCTATTTTTTTGTCCATCTAAGGCATATATTGCTACCATTTATTAATTCTTGTTTCCTTCTCATGTTGCTCTTTGTTGTCATTTTTAAGGGAAGAAGAGACTGGATCACGGGAATGCTTTAATGTGGAAACCCTGAATTCATTCCACACATCTGCCTTCCGGGGACACAGGTAAATGAGGCTGAGTAGTGAAGTGGGAAGTTCCTGAAAATGTGACAGCAAGCCTCTGTCCACTGCCAGACTGAAGACAGGGAGGCGCTCATCGGTAAATTAATGGGTGTTAAAGGGAAGCAAAATAACAGCAAGATAGACTTAGAAGAAATACCCAGTGGCAACACTCATTGGTAGAGTGCAGTCTAATTAAGTATTCAAAGAGGACAGAGTGAACAGACCTTCCTTCCTGGAAATATAAGCAGGTGTATGTCTTCTAGCAATCGTGAGGAGGAGATGGATAGAAGGTGAAAAGTAAAAGGAAGAATATGGGAGAACTAAGGATAGGATATTGAATCCCTGCAGATTTATACAAACAACTTTTATTTTCTGTTTTGCTAATGAAAAAATTTACGTAATGAAATTTAATTTCGCTGGGAATTGAAGTAAATTAATTTGCCACATCAAACTTTTTTCCTCCTTGGGTTTCTTTGGTTTTAAGTCTTTACAGATTATGATTATTCTGGGTGCTCCATTACTCAGCCTTGCATCTGAGGCCTGGGAATCATTTCACACCTCAACAGATCTTTAAATGTAGCATCAAGCGATTTCATAATTAACTTGTCTTCACTCTGTGTCTTAACACACAAAATTCCAGCCAAATTAAAGTATAACAGATGGGAAAAGTCACTTGGAAAGGAATGCTAATTAAGTAGTTTTCATTTCTCTTTCAAAGCCAGGATTAATATACTGATTTCAAATAATTGAGGATGTGTTTCAAATGCTTGGTATGTGGGTTGAGAATTCAAGGAGCAAAAAGTGCTTCTTTTGAGCCTTTAAGGAAAATCTCACCTTTCCAATCGTTTCTTTATCATCCTCATGGTTTATCATCATCCTCCTAAGCTCTTGTTTGTGCCTTGAACGTCTCATTGTGAGAGCAGCGGAGACTCCTGACATCAACCTCGTGCTTGCTATAATTCATTCATACCAAGGGATAAAGCAAGCAAAACATAGATGGTCAGGGTAAATCTCAATAGAGCCCAAGCCCCTCAGGGGCAGAGCCAGTCAGCATTCTGCTGTAGTATGATGTCGCAACCAGGATATTGACATTGATACAATCCATCGATGATACTCAGATTTCCATAGTTTTACTTGAACTCATTAGTGTGAGTTCATTTAGTTCAATACAATTTTATCATCCATGTAGGTTTGTGTATCCACCACCACAGTCAATATACTGTGTACTTCCAACATGACGAGGGTACCTTGTGTGGACCTTTATGACTAAACCACACACCTTCTTCCAAACCCTGGCAACCACTAATCTGTCCTCTATTTCTAAAATTTTGTCATTTCAACAATGTTATATAAATTGGGTGATACAGTCTGTAACCCTTTGTAATTGACTTTTTTCACTCAAAATAATTCCTAGATTTATCCAACTTGTGGCATGTATCAATAGTTCATCCCATTTCATTGCTGAGTACTATTCCATGTTGTGTGTGTATGTGTCTATGTGTCCATCTCCATCCATCCATCCATCCATCCATCCATCCGTCCATCCATCCATCCACACTCATATGTACACTACAGTTTGTTTAGTCATCTAACTATGGAAATACATTTGAACTGATTCTTATTTTTGGCAATTACAAATAAAGCAACTATGTACATTCTTGTAAATGTTTTTGTGGGAACATAAGTTTTTATTTCTCTGAGATAAGTACCGAAATGTTCAATTACCGGGTCATATGGTAGTTGCAGGCTTAGTTTTTTTTAAGGAACTACCAAATTATTTTCCAGAGTGGTTTTACCATTTCTTTTTACCACCATCAAAACACGAATGATTCAACTTCTTTGTGTCCTCACAGCATTTGGTATTGTCGCTGTATTTTATTTTAGACTTTCTGATAGATACGTAGTGATATCACATTGTGATTTAAATGTACATTTCCCTAGTTGCTAATGATGATGACCATCTTTTTTGGGCTTACCATCCCATATCTTCTTCAGTAACGTCTGTTCATGTCATTTGCCAGTTTTCTGATTGTATTGATTGTTGTTGAGTTTTGAGAATTCTTTGTGTATTCTAGATACTAGTCCTTTTTCAGATATGTAGTTTGCAAATATTTTCTCCTAGTGCAGCTTGACTTTTCATCCTCTGCACATGTTTCACAGAGCAAATTTTTAATTATGATGATGCCCAATTCATTGATATTTTTCCTTTTATGAATTGTGATTTTTGGTATCAATCTAAGAATTATGTCTAATCCAAATAGTGTATTCTATGTTTTTTTCTAAAAGTTTTGTAGTCTTATAAGTTCAGTCTATGATCTGTTTTGAATTAAATATTGTCTAAATTTTGAGATTTATATTGAGATTATTTTTTCTTTTTAATTTTTCCCATGGATGTTCACTTTTTCTGGAACCATTTACTGAAAGACTAGTTTTCCTCCATTGAAATGGCTTTGTATCTTTGTTAAAAATTAATTGGACATATTTGTGTGGGTATATTTCTGGATTTACTATTCTGTTCCATGATCCATTGTCTATCATTCTGCCAATAGCCCACTGTTTTGATTGTAATAGCTAGATGGTAAGTCTTAATGTTGGGTAGAGTATTTCCTCCTACTTTATTGTCCTTTATCAGTATTGCTTTAGATATTCTAGGGTTTGTGCCTTCTCACATAAATTTTAGAATAAGCTGGTGTATATCTATAAAAAAACTTAGGTGAAGTTTTAATAGTGATTATCTTAAAACTCTAGATTAGACTGGGAAGAATTGACATATTTTCTGAGTCCTCCGGTTTATAAACAGTGTGCCTTTTCATTTTGGTGGATCTTCTTTAATTTCTTTTATCATCAATTTATAAATTTCAGCATACAGGTCCTGTACATAATTTGCTAAAGATATATCTAAGTATTTTTTTTTCTGTGGAATGGATTATAAGTAGTATTGTGTTGTTATTTTAGGTTTCTATATGTTCACTGTTAGTATATGGAAATGTAGTTAATTTTTGCATGTTAATCTTGTATCTTGTACCTTTTCTCAACTCATGCATTAGTTCTAGAAGGTTTGCTTGGTAGATTTCTTGAGATCTCCTACATTAGTTATCATGTCATCTTCAAATAAAGATCTTTCTTTCTTTCTTTCTCTTTCTTTCTTTCTTTCTTTTTCTTTCTTTCTTTCTTTCTTTCTTTCTTCTTTCTTTCTTTCTTTCTTTCAGGTGTTTTTCTATTTTTTATTGCAGTAGCTAGAACTTATAGTATGTAGAATAAAAGTAGTGAGAGCCAACATCAGTATTTGTTCCTGATCTTGGATGGAAAGCAGTCTTTCACTATTGAGTGTGACGTTAGCTATAGGCTTTTTGGAGATACATTTAGTCAAGTTGAACATTTTCCTCTATTTCTATGATTCTGAGAGTTTTTATCATAAATATGTGTTGAATATTGCCCATTGTTTTTTCTACATTGATTTATATAATGATTTAAATTTTCTTCTTGTATTCTGTTGATATGGTGGATTACATTGATTTTCAAATGATGAATCAGCCTTGATACCTGGAATAATTCCCATTTCATCATGGGGCTTAATTTTTAATATACATTGTTGTGTTTTGTTTGCTACTATTTTGTAGAGGATTTTTATGTCTAAGTTCATGAGAGATATTGGTCTTTAGTTTTCCTTGGTTATACTGGCTATGTCTGGTTTTGATATCATCAACGATTTCAGACCAAATGATTTGAGAAGCATTCCCTCATCTCTATTATCTGGAGGAGATCATGTAAAATTGTTGGTTATCCTTTATTAAATATTTGGAAGATTTCATCAGTGAAACCATCTGGGCGTGGAGACCTCTTTCTTAGCAGCTTTTAAATTATAAGTTATATTTCATGTATCATCATAGGGCTATTTAGATAGTCAGTTTAATCTTGGTTGAGTTTGGTAGTTGCGGTCATCAAGGAATCAGTTCATTTATTCTAAGTTTTAAAATAAGTGAACATAAAAATATTTTTAATATTATCTTTTTCTTTTTTTCTTTGATGATTCCAGGATCTACTTTATTCCTGATATCGGTGATTGTGTGTCGCTCTTATTTTTGTCAGTCTGGCTAGAGATTTATCAACTTATTTTTTGAAGACCAATCTTGTTATTTAATTGATTTTCTTTATTATTTTTCTATTTTTAACTTTATTGATTTTTTTCTCTTACATTTATTATTTTTATTTAGTTTGTTCAGGGTTTTGTTCTTCTTATAAGCTCTCTGTTTTTTTTTTTTCCAGTGGAGATGTCCTCTTTGACCTATATATTATTTAATTATTTTGAAGTGTGTTTAATTTTCATGTATTTACTTTTCTGATTTTCTTTCTGTTACTGATTTATATAGTGTGACTCCATTATTGTTAGAGAACAGTCTTATAATTTCAAGTTTTTAAAATTTGTCAAGGTTTATTTTATAACCCAGAATATAATTTATCTTGGTGAATTTTCATGGGCACTCAAAAAAAATTTTGTATTCTGCTGTTGATAGGTGCAGTGTTCTACATAGGTTGTATATTTCTAATCTAAGATTCCATATCCAAAATGCTCTGTAATCCAAAACTTTTTGAGCACCAACATAATGCTCAGAAGAAATACTCATTGAAATATTTTAAATTTCAGGTTGTTTTTTTTTTTTTAAATTAGGGATGCTCAATCAGTAAGTATAATGCACATATTTTAAAAATCCAGAAATATCAAAATCTGAAACAGATCTTGTCCCAAGCATTTTGGATAAAAGGTACTCAACGTGTATGTGTCACTTAGACCCTATTGATAGACAGTGTTGTTAGGATATCCTATGTCCTTGCCAATTTTCTTCCTAATTGTTCTGTCAGTTTCTGGGGGAGGCTATGGAAATCTAGTATGTTTGTGCTTATTTCTCCTTTCAGTTCTATCAATTTTTGTTTCATATGTGTTGAAACTCCGTTAGTTGGTACATATGCATTTAGACTTGATATGTCTTCCTAGTGGGTTAATT